ACAAGTAAAAAAAAAAAGTTAAAATGTTATATAAATATGATATATAAGATTTTGTGTATGAATGGATCCTTATTCTTATTAAAAATAAAGACCATGATTCATGCACCCTCAGTTCAACACTCAGAGATGTACACTCTACATAACCAAATAATTTTAAAAGTAAAATTACAAATTTATCCTCTCACTAAATCATTTTCCAAATGACAGTAAGAACAAATCTTAGCAAAACTCAATCAAGAATTCAAGCACCAAATTCATCTTTACCCTAATCATTTGCAAGACAATTGATAGTCGTATCAGATTCCCACCTTCTTCCTTTTTTCTTTTTTTTTTTCATTTCTTCTCCCTGGTTCTCCAGCAGAACCCAGATTGGATTCTCCAGATGGAGAGAAAAAAAAAAAAAAGAGGAAGAAGATAATGATTTTGTTAGAAGAGGAAGATGAAGAGACAAGAAGAAAAAAGGGTATTTAGAGGAAGATGACTTTTAAGGTTAAATTTGTAATTTTATTTTTAAAATTATTTGGTTATGTAAAATGTGCACTCTAGGTGTTGAACGGGGTGCACAAAGCATTTTTCTAAAAATAATTATCTTTTTTATTTAAAAAGTCACAATTAATATCAACAATTAAAAATAAAAAATAAATAGTTGAGATTTTATATAAGTATATTTTGTGCAAGTATATTCCTCCTCATATACATATATATAATTAATGAGATTCATGAGTATCAAATTTTATTGAAAAAATTAAATAAAAAATACTTCAAAATTATATTATTTTAATAAAATACTATATAAAAGATTAAAATAACCTTATTTTTACTTTAAAAATTAAGAATTTTTTAATTTTTTATAATATTTTATTAAAACTATGTAATTCTAATATATTTTTATATAATTTTTTACAATATAAATTAATACTTATTTTCTTTGTATAAATATTTTATATATTTTTAAATACAATGGGAATTAGTTACTTAGCACTTTATACTAACTTAGTCATACTCTTAGTGATGGTCATATTTTCTTTATTTTGCTTTATTTTAGACTCATGAGTCCTGCCATTCTTACTGCATGAGCAATGCTAGGGACACTCCTTAATTGCACTCTCCAACCAACACTTCTATTTTTAATGGCCACGTTATTTGGTTTTTGAGAGGTGATCATTTCATAGCCTAAAAGCAAGCTTACGTGGTCCATGAAAAGGCATGTGTTGACTGGCAGGAGGCGAGTGCCCCTAGCACTGTTCCTTACTGCATTTGGTACCTTCTTTCCCGAAACCACCCCGGTTACTTGAGCTCAATTGTTCAAGTGTATGCTTTCTTTGTTAGTTCATTGGTGGTCACTGCAATCTAAAAGGGTTATTGGTGAATTACATTTTTGATTAGTGGTTGAATCTTGTCAAAAATAAGATACTAACCTAATTAACTTCTAATTTTTAACTATTGTCCCTGTCAACAAAAAAAATTGTTCAAGTGTTTGCATTTTTTTTATAAAAAAAATACTTTATTCTTTGGAAAAAAAATATATCAATACTTTTTTTGGGCCGAAATATCAATCCGTTGATTAAAAGCCCATATAGTATTACTCCTTCGTGGGCTGGGGCTGCTCCCTCAAATATTTGTAACTGCTCTAAATTGCTCTTTCAACACATGGATTGCTAACTAAATGCTAAGATCAAGAATTACGCATCGGCAAACATCTGCGATGGGTTAATGGGTATTTAGGCCGTAGCATCATCGTGGGTTGGGTCAGGTTTGCATAAACTAAAGAGGAGCACGGGCCACTGGTTTTTGTAATTGACTTTGGTTGGATTAGGCCGTAGCTTCATCCGTAGCGCACTTTCGATGTTTGCACTTTGCAAGCCAGGACTTGATCTACAATCTTGGAGGCCTTTGTTTTTACAAATTTCGGCAAGCCCTGCCTCGGTTGTTACATTATATTTGGATTGAAAGGTATAAAGAAGAAGAAAGGAAAATGAAAGATTTGTTTAATTAATTAAGTTGAAATATTTAAAAATATTATAATTTAATTAATTAAAAATTTCTTTCTTCTCCTCTCCTTCATTCCTCTCAATCTAAAACACACTTTAGAGATTTTAATATTAATAAGTGATGAGACTCTCCTAATTTAAGTAGTTTTGTTTTGTTGGAAGTGTCTTTTAACATCATGCCACACATGACGAATGTTACTATCTTCTTCTTCTTCTTCTTCTTCTTTTGAATAAGAGCAATTACAGGGGAAGAGGGAAGGGAATGGACCTAACTCATGAGCTAAAAGAAGTACCAATAGTCGATAAACCAAATACGAATATTCAAGTGGTTGGTAGAACTCAAACTCCCGATCAATTCTGCCCAAATGCTAAGACTTGAATACAAATCATTAAATCTCAAGGGGCCAGTTCATGATACTATCTTCATCTCTGTGAATCTTGCTATTTTGATAAAAAAAAAAAAAATAGATGCCAATTTATGAGAAGGTAACCCAACAAATTTCCATGCATCAACCACTTTGCTTATTCTTTCTTTCTTTTTTGAACGTGGGAATTTGGGGAAAGAAGTTCTTGAAGCTTCCTTTGGTGGTGAACCATTTGATCCATTAGATTGGTTCACTTCAAATATTTTTTTAAGTGTTGAAAAAATTGAAAACCAACATGATAACCAACCTAACTCACCTAGG